CTCAGTGGGTTTTTTCAGCATTTCTCTTCCACATATTCACATTCGGCAGTCTCTTGGCTTACTCTGAACCCTAGTCTTGTCTCTAATATGAACCCTGCATACACTTGCCTAATTAGTGTGATGGTTGTTCACAAAACCTGGACCCAGGATTGAAGATTTCATCTCTCCCAAAACTCTACGAAGTCTCCAGATTCCAGGACCCAAATTTGGTTTTACCAATCACTGAGGAAACTTAAAAAAGAAGATATTGGTACGTTTGTGGGTTTTTAAAGGCTCCTTGGTGGCTGTACATGGGTTATGGTTGTGAAACTCTTGTGTTGCCTTTAGAGGCGTTACAAGGCTCATCGGTTTACCCACTTGACCCCCAGGCCTTTTTCAGACACTTTTGTTTACATGTAAAAATCAATATTTTTTGCTAGATTAGTTAGAACCCCAAAAAAGCAGAAGCCCTAGAGAAAAAAGTGGTGGGTTTTGCAATTTTTTATTGCACACAGTATTTGCGCAGTGGTTTTTCAAAGGCAATATTTTGGGGGAAAATACACTGTTTTGGAATTTTAATGCAAAAAAAAACACATAACCCATTTTTTTGGTAAAATATAAAAGATGATGTCAGTGGCGTCCCTAGGGGGGTGCGGGCCGCACTGGGTGACACCATCACAGGGGGTTCAGGAGCAGGATGCCGGCACAGTGACAGCTTCCCTCACCCTGGTGTAGCAGTAAAATGAGTATCCCCTGAAGCAACTGCGCATGTGCCGGTTTCAGGCCGAAGAAGCTGATCGCCGGCTCTGTGCTAAAGTCAGAGATCGGCTTCTTCGGTCTGAAACCAGCACATGCACAGTTGCTTCAGGGGATACATATCTTCAAGGGATACTCATTTTTCCACTACACCGGCACCGCTCCTTCCTCTCTGGAGGGGTGACACCACATGTTACCGCACCAGGTGACACCAACCCTAGGGATGCCTCTGGATGATGTTACACCGAGAAAATAGATACCAAACATGCCACGATTTAAAATTACACATGCCCATGCAACGGCAACAAATTACATAAATTTTACTATCCATAGGAGACCCTTTAAAAGCCTTTACAGGTTACCACTTTAGATTTACAAAGGAGGTCTGGTGCTAGAATTACTTCCCATGATCTGACATTCGCGGTGATACCACACGTGTGTGGTACGTGTGCGTGTGTGTGCATAGGAAGTTTTTTTAAAATTATTACTATTATTAGTATACAGGATTTATAGAGTGCCAACAGTTTGCTCAGCGCTTTACTATATAACGGGAGACTATACAGCAACAATACAGATCAATACAAGAGGATTAGGAGGGCCCTGATCCTTGGAGCTTACAATCTAAGATTTTTTAATTATTATTTATAGGTGTGCAGCAAATACAATAAATTGTAGACTTCTCATACATAATAGCCAATGACATGGTACAAGAGGTACAGTAAGCAGGCAGATAAATTCCACAAGGTGATCAAAAAGCAATCGCAGTGAGCATCCATCAGAAAGCAGTCAGGAGCATGTCAATACAGGCAGTTATGCAGGGGTTGAAACCGGAGATTTCACTACTGATCAAACAGTTAGTGTCGGAGTGGACAGACATGGATCCAAAAACATTTGAAGCCAGAGTAATGGAGAAAGATTCAGCGGGCTGTTTTTTGATTTTCCTAAAGCAAGTAGAAAGGTTCATTTCCAAGGATTACAGCATTGTGATTGTTCTGTCTCTCCAATCTAAGCATTGAAAGTGTGATCTCTGTAACTTACAGTTGTGATGAGATAGCGATAACTCCAATCTTAGTTGAATAACACAGGCAGTGACTCGATCAGATGACACCTTGTAGATCTTGTGAAGTTTATTCCATAAACTGAGAGAATCTTACAACAATGAACATCGGATAGGTCAAAAGATCATAACGTGGTCTGCTTCATGACATGAGGCTAGAAGCTGCAATGCCTTACTGGGAAAAAGGATGGGCTATCTATACAGCATTAACTAAACCAGAGGAAAGGGAGGAGCACAGACAAAATACAGAGAACACTTAAAGGCATATGACAGTCATGTGAAACATGACAGTGATCCTAGAAATGCCAGACCAAGAGATCAGATGGGACCAGGGGTGGACTGACCATTTGGAAACTCGGGCACTGCCCGAGGGCCCGGGGTCAGTTGGGGGCCCCATGAGATGCCCCGGTACCTTTTTCATAGGCTTTTTTGAGCAAGGACACAGGGGCCCCATGATGCCCTATTGCCCGGGGGCCCCATGAGTTGTTAGTCCGCCCCTGGATGGGACAGTTAAGGAGCAACATCAGGGGAAGGGGTAGAGGGGGAAGAGTTAGAGTTTTCAATAACAAGAATGACCGCTGTTTTTCCTGCTGCCAGCCTGGACATTGGAGAAATCAGTGCCCAAATGTGACACCACAGAATCAGAATATATTAAATGTGTCTTTAAAAGCTCTTTCACCACAAGCACCTCCCGCTGCACAGCCTGCCGTGAAATATCCCCTCCAATGGCAAAATCAACAACAATAGCGCTGCCCGGAAGGTGTTCCCCTCATGCTCCCCCAGCTCTCTTTTGAATACGCTGAACAACCCTCTATATTTTTTTTGGTAGGAGCTGTGATGCTATCTTTCGTACCTGATACAGGAGCTACCCATTCATGTTTAAGGTCAGCGTGTTACAAGGGTGCTGTACTTGAGTGTTAACCTTCTATGGGAATAACTGGGGTTTTCATCAAAACTTGGGAAATGCCACCGTTAGAGATGAGCAATCCCTATGGACGAGGTCACATTGTAAATCATTCTTTTAAGGTCATTCCAAATTGTCCGGTAAATAGATTTATTGGGAAAGTTAAAAAGTGTCATTACAGTAAGCCCTGAAGGAAGTGTTCACGTGGAATCCCCATATTGCTTTGTTGCTAGAGAGGAATTGGAGGAGGTAGATCCCAAAGTGTGGGCAAGGGATATGTTGGATGTAGCATTTATACCTTGTACACCATATAAAGCCACACTGAAGCCTAACACCCAGCCAGTTTTACAGAAGCAATACCCTTTGGCCATAGAAAAGTTGGAAGGCATCCAACCCATGATTGAAATATTTTTAAACTAGGGAATTTTGACCCCTGTGATATCACCTTATAATACCCCAGTTAATAACAAATACCTAAATGTGTGATGCAGAATTCAACTTCTTTATGATTGATCAGGCCTTAAGTAATAACTGATAACACAGCATATTTCAGGCGGTTTCCATAAAGCACCAATCAGAATACAAAAGAAAGATTTCCGTAAACTACTCTATGGCACGTAATAACAAAAATGCAACAGAGTAGTAATTTCTGCAATTTCTCATAAAAGAAGTGTGTGCATAGATAACAGCATTTCCTTGGAGCTTACAATCTAATCATAGTGTTGCTGATTAAAAAAGTATGGGTAGCATTGCACATATCAAACAAGAGTCCACAATATGGTTTAGCAATGAGAACTTTATTTTAATACTGTCATAACGTGCATGTTTCTACATGATGTAACACACGGAGGAAGGTCAGCCTGAGAGCCCACCATTGTTCCCAGAGAATGAGAGCTGATTCACACGTGTGGTGCGGATTGAAGCTCGGGTTTCACAGCTAGTTGTTCACAGGTTCACGTCAGGTTCAGGACAGGATTAGCTCAGGATCTTCTATCACACATGCGGTTTAGAAATGGTTCCCATAGAAATCAATAGCCTGTAATCCGCACCTGAGCCGGACTGCACAGCTTAGATATCGGACAGGACTCTTTTTTAAAACCACACTGAATCCACACCGCACCGTGCATCGGACATATGTGAACAGGCACCATAGGAAGCAATGTTTTTTCACATGCATTCAATCCACATATATGTGAACGGGCACTGACTCTCTGAATTTTTTGGAAGTAAATTCCAGTGTTTTGGAGCCAGGAACGGACTGACCATTGGGGAACTGGCCGGGGGCCTCGGGTCAGTAGGGGGCCCCATGAGATGTCCCTGGTACCTGTCATAGGCTTTTTTTGGGTGTGATTTGAGTGTGGGCGAGGACACAGGGGCCCCATGATCCCCTATTGCCCGGAGGCCCCATGAGTTCTCAGTCCGCCCCTGTTTGGAGCATAGCAGGAGAAGGGTCTGTCACTCATTGAATTTAGATGAGTAGGGGACATACACAGAAGACCAGAATTCAAGGAGCAGAGGTTACGAGGGGGGAAGTAATTTTCTCCTCTTTTCTTCTTTATTTTCTCTTCTCTTTAATTACTTGTCAGATTCAAACTTATAAGGCAGATACATCAAAGTCTGTCCTCCCTCTGTACATATCAAGGCTTCATTTTCTGTTGTATAAAATATTAGAATGTTCAATGAATTGTGTAAACCAATAACACTCCCAACCGGAGTGTAGATGAAGATGTCAAACAGTCTCAGCCAGCACTGTCTAACAAACCACTCCCCCTCTGACGTGTTTCACCCCATCCACCTGTGACCAAACCCCTCCCCAGGGGGTGGGGCAAAAACATCAGGGGTCTTTTTTTTGTGGAGCAACACTGACTGAAACCATTTGACACCTTCATCTACACTCCAGTTGGGTTGGCGGTGCAGCATTCTTTGTTTACACCAATGCTGGATGGGTGAGCTTAAAATCGGCACCCATTTCCGAGGATCGGGGGGGGGGATCGCACCTTCCCACTGGCTTAGAGAGGCACTACAAGCCTTATACTGGGTCACATTGTTCAATGAATGTTACAAAAAAAGCAAAGCTACAACGTAATTAACATCTGCAATAAATTATAAATCAGAGAAGTACTTAAAAAAAAAAAAAATAATAATAATTGGAATAAACCAATTCTGAAACTAAAATTTCCCATTTGCAACACCCGATCCTTTCAAAATGCCTCACCGATTGTTCTATAGACAGATTGATTCATCCTGTGAAACACAGCTTTACTTTTCAGCATCCTTAAGCGGTGTGCTTCTTCATGTGGAGATTTAGCGTCCATTTATGTGCAAAACATTTCCAGCATTTCCGCATTTCGGACAGGAGAACGGCTTCTCGCCGGTGTGAGCTCTGAAATGGTTATCAAGATTAGCCTTTTCAGAAAAGCATTTGCCGCACTCTGGACAGGAAAATGGTTTCTCGCCGGTGTGGACTCTCTGATGTACCTTGAGTTGCGATTTTTGGGAGAAAGACTTTTCACACTCAGAACAGGAGAAGGGCTTTTCTCCGGTGTGGATTCTCTCGTGTCGAATTAGTCCTGTCTTGTGTGTGAAGGACTTCTCACACTTGGAGCATGAATAGGGCTTCTCTCCGGTGTGGACTCTCTGGTGTATATCAAGTTTTGATTGGCAGGTGAAATACTTTTCGCACTGAGAACATGAGAAGAGTCTTTTCCCAGTGTGGAATCTCTGGTGTACTGTGAGCTGTAATTTAACGGTGAAAGACTTTTCACACTCGGAACATGAGTAAGGCTTTCCCTCCGTGTGGATTTTCTGGTGTTGGATGAATTCTGAATTGTTTAGGAAGGGTTTCTCACAATCAGGACACCAAAATGGATTTTCCCTGGTGTGGATTCTCTGGTGTTCAACCAGGTCACTTTTTTTGAGGAATGATTCTTCACAAACAGTACATGGGAATGTCTCATTGTTTCTATGTGTAACTGTATTCAATTTTCTGGAAGATGATTCTTGGAGATTGGAAGGATGTGGTGCCCCCACTCTACTGGGACACCTTGGTTGGACATTTGAGATAATGTGTGATTTGTTATTAGATTCCTCAGAAGTACACTGACCTGTTGATCTCTCCACATGATCTATTCTTTGATATGTATATTGGCCAGCAAGTCTTACTCCTGGAGAACATTGTGCCACACCATTTTGTCCTTCATTATAGCCTGGTGATAAAATCAGGGTTCTTGCTGTAGTATTCCAGCCAGTGTGTCCACCTGTTGAGAATAATGAGAAATAGCTTGTTCATTGTTCATGTTATGCAATCAGGAGCAGTGAATGTTGGTCTGTAAGTCAATTGTTACTCAGAGCTCTATAGTGTACAGTATCTCCACCTCATTTGTTAGGAACGTGATGTTATATTGAGGAATAGGGATGGACATTTCATATGGTGTACAGTATCTCCTCCTCATTTGTTGGGAACATGACGTTATAATGAGGAATGGAGATGGACCTTCCATATGGTGTACAGTATCTCCTCCTCATTTGTTGGGAACATGACGTTATAATGAGGAATGGAGATGGACCTTTCATATGGTGTCCAGTATCTCCTCCTCATTTGTTGGGAACATGATGTTATAATGAGGAATTGAGATGGACCTTTCACATGGTGTACAGTATCTGCTCCTCATTTGTTGGGAACATGATGTTATAATGAGGAATGGAGATGAACCTTTCATATGGTGTCCAGTATCTTCTCCTCATTTGTTGGGAACATGACGTTATATTGAGGAATGGAGATGGACCTTTCATATGTTATACAAAGTTAATACTTTATGTTTGAACCTTAGCTGATGCAGTAGGTACACCAGCAATGTTCTTATTGACAATATTAAAGATTTTTTTTCCATCTTACATAGCTTGAAGATACTGTCTAGATTGATTAAACAAACAATTTTTTTCTTTCAAAAGGATAGCACACATTATGTGAAATTATTTGAAAGTCTGCTAATTCTTTGTCACGTTTGGTCAATCTACATACAGTACATATAATGTGAAGTGCTGCTCACCTGTGGTGATATCCAAAGAAGATTCCTCTTTGGTAATTGTCATTATCATTTCAGCTTCCTTCATGGACAACTGGTCATCCCTCATATACCACTCTTGTTCTTTAACCTCCGTTTTCATACTAATCACTTTTTCTCCCTAAAATAACAAAACAATTGCTGTTATGTGGAGGCTACATAGAAGAATATTATCTAATATAAGCTATAGTCAAGTTTAAATCCAAGTTCCACCTACCTGATGATGGTGAGGGATGGTGTGACGTTCCTGTGTGGAACCCCAGGAATCCAGAAGACGGGGACATCTCTCTGGTGGGTTTCCATTACTGGATCCATCTGTAGGAAACACACACACTGACTGAATCCATTGTTTCTATGTGTTTATCAGATGATGGGGGATCTAGGTGGACCCTCCGTACTGCTCTCTCCTTTACAATAAAGTCTCCTCTTACCCGGTGATGTGAGGGGCGGCTGATTCTCCATCATGACATCCTTGTAGAGATCCTCGTGTCCTTCTAAATACTCCCACTCCGCCATGGAGAAATAGACAGTGACATCCTGACACCTTATAGGAACCTGACACACACAATGATACAGTCACCATCCAGACACATCCCTTGTCTGTTACTGGAGAATGTCCCAGAATTCCCGGCACCGCTCACCTCTCTGGTAAGGATGTCAATGATCTTTTGAGTGACTTGTAAAATCTTCCCCTCATTGTTTTTTTCTGGAACCAGAAAGGAATGTAGAGGAACCATAATGGAGTTGTGTCCATCTTCTAATGTCTTCTTCACAACTATGTCATCCTGTGAAGAGAGATTAGCAAACACAATATACATTCCCCAGCAAAAGAAGTTGCAACTTGATGCCATCATCGTCCCTCTTTGCTATAATCTGATAAACAGCATCACTCTGAAGGCCATACCTCCCAACCATCCCGGATCCTGCGGGACTGCACCGGTAATTGAATTGAGTCCCAGTATCCCGCAGATCAAATCTGTGTCCTGCAGCCTGAACACTGCAGCTCGATCTATCTCTTAGCAGCGCGTATTTACTTCTGGTTGGCCTCTGATGATAGGTAAACCCTGATTGGCACACAGTACTTGCAGTACTGTATGCTGTAGCCTCCTCTCCCCATCCCGTACTCTGCTCCGGAGCCCAGAATCTCCTGTCAGGAGGACAGTGATTTTCTTGGTGACTTCTAGAATCTTCTGTTCATTGTTTTTTTTCTGGAACCAGTAAGGAAGGTAGAGGAACCATAATGGAGCTCTGTCCATCTCCTGATGTCTTCTTTACAACTATGTTAACCTGTTGGAGGGAGATTATCAATCACTATAGACATTGCCCTTCTTTAAGCAAAGACATCTTTTCTTCAGTGCCAGTTATAGTTCTCCATGTAATTGCAGATAAGCATTTTTGCTATTTCCTCTTAAATTGTGTAGGTTTACCGTCCATTCAAGGTTCAGGACATCTAGTTTTACCTAACTGCATTTGTGGTCCACTTTGGTACCATGATCTTGTAAAGTTCTACTTGGGTGTCCTCCTTATGATGTGGTGGTATTAGGTCAAGAGGAAGGGGCTTTGAAAGCATGGGAGTAGTCCTGACTTTAGACTGAGCTCTGTGTGATGATTGGGTGTAGCACAGAGGTAGCATGAGATGACCAGTTGGTAGCGACTCGAAAGATGTTAGACATATGTGTTGCACAAAGCAAAGAAACAGAGGAACGCTATACAAAGAGGAGGTTGCTGCATTTCATTGGATATGGGTGGAGTCTCCCTGAGGAGGAGTGAGAGCAGAGCTGTAGTCCACCAGAAGTGTCAAGGTTCTCCATTTGTGGCAGATCCCCATCCATCAGTAAAGATTGGAGGACAGGAGGAATGTGGTGGTACAATGTGACCACTCTGAAGTACTAATGGCTGCCACAGATAATAATATTCGGTTTAAAAAAGTGATTGGTTTATGTGTTGCTTTAACAAATGTGAAATGAGTTTTTTAGTCCATTAAAAAAAAAATTTAAAAAAAATTGTATAAAATGTGTACTTTATTTTCTGGTATTTTGTCATTAAAAATAAAGGAAAAAAAAAGTAGGACAATTAACATCTGGCTGTAAAAATTCTAATTAGGCCAAGCATCAGTTATCAAAAATCAGAACTTTCTTTTATTATTTTTGTCTTGTTAATGGGGAATTATAAAAATATTAAAAAAAAAATAGTTGTAATAAATGTGTACTTTATTTTCTGGTGATTTGTCATAAAAAAAAAAAAAAAGTAAGACAATTATATGCATATGTTAAAAAAAAAAATCCTCAAACACTCCTCGGTCAGCAGGTAGATGATTTCCAGGGTGAGCTGTAATATCCTCTCCGTCAGGTTGGAGCAGTTTGCTTCCATGGCTCGCAACTCTCTTCCATTCACTTCCTGCAACAACAGTGCCCATCCCCCAACACTCAGGATCATGGGTAAAAGGCAGGTTCCTCTGTGATTGGTTCATCTCGACCATTTTGTTGTAGCCCAGCAGACCTGGAGGAACATACTGTTCATCATAAAATAAGGCTCAAACCTGAGGTTATGCTTCAAAGTGTTACTAAACCCACAACAGTACAATCAGCCTGTAGATGCAGTAAAGCGTGCTTGTTATACTCACTGTGGAACCCAAGGGCTTAATCCTCCACATTGTGTAAAAAGGCTGTTTGATCCTGTCTTCTCTCACCCTCCCCTTCTTCTACTGTCCCCAATCCAGCTGATGATAGAACAGAGCTCTAGGAGTGATTGGTGTGTATTGCTAGGGGCAAGCATGGGTAACTCGGGCAGGGACCCAGTACCATCAGAGTAGGACCTTGTATGCTGCTTCAAGTGAACTTGTATTGAAGGAGCATTTGGCAACCATTTTCCAAACCTTACTCCAGTCCTCCAAATCTATGGAGGGGAGCTAGAGGTCCCGTTCCCATTGAGACATATAGGAGAGGGATGCTGATGACGGGCGTCCATTCAAGGATGCAGAGATGGCTGAGATGAGACCAGGGGCATGCTGAATTGCATGTTCAAATAAAGCCTTTAGTTATGGGTAGGTGGACATGCGGAGCAGAGTAACAAGCCAATGTTTTAGCTGAAGGAAGCAGAAGTGCTGTCTGGCTGGGGTGGCATGTGTCTCTCAGATGACGTCCCAGGATGGACACCTCAACTACATTCATAATCTCTTCTGCATGCCAGCCGCAAGCATGGTCTGCACAGAACCTCTGATGCACCTATTCAGCGCCTGGTGACCAGGGGCGGACTGACCATTTGGAAACTCGGGCACTGCCCGAAGGCCCAGGGTCAGTAGGGGGCCCCATGAGATGGCCCTGGTACCTTTTTCATAGGTTTTTTTTGAGTTTGGGCAAGGACACAGGGGTCCCATGATCCCCTATTGCCCGGGGGCCCCATGAGTTGTCAGTCTGCCCCTGCTGGTGACTCTCCTTTTTTGTTCCTTCTTGCCTGGAACTTTCCCTTCTTTAAAAAAAAAAAAAACACTTCCCCTATTTTTTCCAGTTCCTTCTCTTCCTTTATTAATCTCAGGATCTCCCTCTCTTCTTCCTACCTCTCGTTTTCCATCTTTTTTTTTTTCTCTTTCTTTCTCCCTTTTTTTCCTTCTTTTTTTATGCATGTCCTCTTTTCAATGCAAGCATTTTGTGCATCTTCCCTCTCTACAGACTGCAGTATAGAATTAACACTTTCACCGCCAGGTCCATACGTTGTATAGACCTGACAGTGGGGGATGGGGGTGGTTTATACACAATTTGGTGGGATTGTGTATAAAATTGGCAGGCAGACTCTTGCTGCCGGGTGAAAGCAGTCAGGTGGCTACATTGCCACCCAATTACTTCCACAGCCCCTGGTAACAGTGTCCCTCCCGTGAGCGCGTGCATTCCGGACTCCGTTTGCCCATTTGCGGACTCGGGGGCCAACATGGCGGGTACCGGAAGGTGGAGAGGAGAGCGGACAAACATCCCCACCCCTTCCCTTGTTGTTGTGACCCAGAAGGTGACCTGTATGACATCACTTCACCTGTCACTTTTCAATCTGCATTGCAATATATCCAATGGAGCCCAGAGGAGACATGAAGGGTCTGTTGGACTCTGCTTGTCTAATTAAAGAGAACCTGTCACCTATAAAATGACAAAGTCCCCTATGTGATGGAAAAATAAAAAGGTAAAGTGTTACAAAACCCACAACAGTACAATCAGTCTGTAGATGCAGTAAAGCATACTTGTTATACTCACTGTGGATCCTAAGGGGTTAATCCTTCGCATTGTGTAAAAAGGCTGTTTGATTCTGTCTTCTCTGATCCTCCTCTTGTTGAAATGACCACCTGATACAGACCGATAGAGAACCAAGGACGTCAGTTTCACTCCAAACAATTCACTTTATTGAACCAAGATAAAAGCAGTACAGACAGCGGAAATACAGTGGGGGACTGGCAGGTCAACGCGTTTCATTCTAAAGACAATAATGAATAAGCACTGTCTTTGGCGTGAAACGCTTTGACCTGACACTCCCCCACTGTATTTCCACTGTCTGTATTGGTTTTATCTTGGTTCAATAAAGTGGATTGTTTGGAGTGCAGCCGATCCAACATCCTTTGTTCTCATCTATGCAGCACACTAGCTGGGATAGCACCTACAGGAGTTGTGCTTGGAGATTGGGAGTTTCTCTACCTTGAGCAGTGGTAAACATATATGGTACAGACTGAACCCGTGGTCACATGCTCAGTTTGGTGTGTATTGCTGGAGAGTTTTTTTTTTCTTGGGAGAGTGCATGTGATCAGCTAAGGGCCAATAGAATTGCCCAGACAGAGGGTCAGGGGTTTCACTTCCTCCTAGAGCAGAAAGAAAACTCCTCCTACGAGCTTTAACCAGTGCTTTGCTGAAGTCACAAAACTGCTCTCATTGCTGATGAGAAAAAGGTATTTAGCAGTTTATATTTACTAAAATAATTGCATTTCCATGTTGTGTGTACCACGGGAGACTGGATTTTGTGAATGCGGAGTCCGGGGAGACCAGATATAGTGAATGCAGGATTCGGGGAGAGCGGATATACTGAATGCAGGGTCTGGGGAGAGCAGATATAGGCAATGCAGGGTCCGGGGAGAGCAGATATAGTGAATGCGGGTTTCGGGGAGAGCAGATATAGTGAATGCAGGGTCGGGGAGAGCGGATATAGTGAATGCAGGGTCCGGGGAGAGCGGATATAGTGAATGTAGGGTCCGGGGAGAGCGGATATAGTGAATGGGGGGTCCGGGGAGAGCGGATATAGTGAATGCGGGGTCCGGGGAGAGAGGGATATAATGCGGGGTCCAGGGAGAGCGGATATAGTGAATGCAGGGTCCGGGGAGAGCGGATATAATGAATGCGGGGTCCGGGGGAGAGAGAATATAGTAAATGCGGGGTCCGGGGAGAGCGAATATAGTGAATGCGGGGTCCGGGGAGACCAGATATAATGAATGCAGGGTCCGGGGAGAGACCAGATATAATGAATGCAGGGTCCGGGGAGACCAGATATAGTGAATGCGGGGTCCAGGGGAGAGCGGAATATAGTGAAATGCGGGGTCCTGGGAGAGCGAATATAGTGAATGCGGGGTCGGGGAGAGCCATATATAATGAATGCGGGGTCCAGGGAGAGATATAATGAATGCGGGTCCGGGGAGACCAGATATAGTGAATGCGGGGTCCAGGGAGAGCGGATATAGTGAATGCGGGGTCCTGGGAGACCGATATAGTGAATGCGGATATAGGGCGAATATAGGGAATGCGGGGCGGGGATGCGGGGGTCCGGGGAGAGCGGATATAGTGAATGCAGGGTCCGGGGAGAGTGGATATAGTGAATGCGGGATCCGGGGAGAGTGAATATAGTGAATGCAGGGTCCGGGGAGAGTGAATATAGTGAATGCAGGGTCCGGGGAAGGCGGATATAGTGAATGCGGGATCCAGGGAGAGCGAATATAGTGAATGCGGGGTCCGGGGAGACCAGATATAATGAATGCAGGGTCCGGGGAGAGCGGATATAGTGAATGCGGGGTCCGGGGAGAGCATATATAGGCAATTCAGGGTCCGGGGAGAGCAGAAATAGTGAATGCGGGGTCCAGGGAGAGCGGATATAGTGAATGCAGGGTCCGGGGAGAGCGGATATAATGAATGCGGGGTCCGGGGAGAGCGAATATAGTGAATGCGGGGTCCGGGGAGAGCGAATATAGTGAATGCGGGGTCCGGGGAGAGCGGATATAGTGAATGCGGGGTCCGGGGAGACCGGATATAGTGAATGCGGGGGTACCGGGAGAGCGGATATAGTGGATGTGGGGTCCAGGGAGAGCGAATATAGTGAATGCAGGGTCCGGGGAGACCAGATATAATGAATGCAGGGTCCGGGGAGACCAGATATAATGAATGCAGGGTCTGGGGAGACCGGATATAGTGGATGCGGGGTCCGGGGAGAGCAAATATAGGGAATGCGGGGTCCGGGGAGAGCGGATATAGTGAATGCAGGGTCCGGGGAGAGTGGATATAGTGAATGCAGGGTCCAGGGAGAGCGCATATAGTGAATGCGGGGTCCGGGGAGACCGGATATAGTGAATGCGGTGTCCGGGGAGAGTGGATATAGTGAATGCGGGGTCAGGGGAGGGCGAATATAGGGAATGCGGGGTCTGGGGAGAGCGAATATAGGGAATGCAGGGTCCGGGGAGAGCGAATATAGTGAATGTAGGGTCCGGGGAGAGTGGATATAGTGAATGCGGGGTCCAGGGAGAGCGGATATAGTGAATGCAGGGTCCGGGGAGACCGGATATAGTGAATGCGGGGTCCGGGGAGAGCGGATATAGTGAATGCGGGGTCAGGGGAGGGCGAATATAGGGAATGCGGGGTCTGGGGAGAGCAGATATAGTGGATGCGGGGTCCGGGGAGAGTGAATATAGGGAATGCGGGGTCCGGGGGAGAGCGGATATAGTGAATGCAGGGTCCGGGGAGAGTGGATATAGTGAATGCGGGATCCAGGGAGAGCGAATATAGTGAATGCAGGGTTCGGGGAGAGCGGATATAGTGAATACGGGATCCAGGGAGAGCGAATATAGTGAATGCGGGGTCCGGGGAGACCAGATATAATGAATGCAGGGTCTGGGGAGAGCGGATATAGTGAATGCGGGGTCCGGGGAGAGCATATATAGGCAATTCAGGGTCCGGGGAGAGCAGAAATAGTGAAGGCGGGGTCCGGGGAGAGCGGAAATAATGAATGCAGGGTCCAAGGAGAGCGGATATAGAGAATACAGGGTCCGGGGTTTAGTAACACTAAGTAAAAAATTTTTAGTTTTTTTTAATTGCAAAAAAAATAAAGTTACACCCAGATAATCTCTTCTTTAGAAAACACATGACCTTCTCCAAAGACCAAATTCCAATTGGCCACTATCATAGCATTGCTGATGAAGATGTAGTTGTAATCAGTGGTCCATACTATGGTTTGCCAATGAAAATTTTATTTTATTTCCGTCACGCAATACATATCTTTAACGTAAGAAAGAAGGACAGCTTGAGACCCCACCATTGTTCCCGAAGAACTTCTATAATTAGTGGGAACTGTTTTTTGTTTGACAGAACGAAGAAGGTACAAACCTCTGTTGGATTATTATTTTCTGTATCCATGTTGAGGAAATTTCCCTGTGACAACTATCATTGGGACAGAAAGTCCCTCCGGTGGTTCCATGTGTACAGCTAAAAAAAAAATCGTCCAATCTCTTCCCTGCGCTACTCAGTGATTTTATTGATACTTGATGGATAGATTTTCCCCCAATTTTTAACACAACAGGAAAAAAGGGGAAAATCCCCATAACCGAGAAAGACAAAATGTTTGAGTTTTAGGAAAAACCGCAACCTAAAAGATACTCAACAAATGATATATATAAAAAAAAAACTTTTTTAAATAATGATATAAAAAAAAACAGATCGCACAACAAAAAAAACCCCTAAAATATTGTATATAGGTTGGCTGATCCTTTCCTCATCTTTTTCGTATTGATTGTTCAAAGAACATAAAGCATCAGCCAATGACACGCCACTGTAAATGTTTTCAGCAGCCTCAGGTAGTGTGCATTCTCTGGTGGATAATCAATGTCGATTTTTGTGCAAAACATTTGCCGCACTCTGAACACGAAAACGGCCTCTCACCGGTGTGAATTCTCATGTGCTTATCACGGTTCCCCCTGTGAGGGAAGCACCTTCCACACTCAGGACAGGAAAAGGGCTTCTCCCCGGTGTGGACTATGTTGTGTCTATTCAGTTGCGATTTCTCGGTGAAAGTCTTTCCACAAATAGAACAGGAAAAAAGCTTTTCCCCAGTGTGGAGTCTCAGGTGTTGAACAAGTCCTGCTTTTCTCATGAAGGACTTCTCACACTCAGAGCACTTAAAGGGTTTTTCGCTGGTGGGAATTCTCTGGTGTACATCCAGGTCATGGTATTTTCTGAATGGGTTTTCACAATTCTGAAAAGTAGAAAAACAATTGTGAGAAGATTCATCAAGATTAGAAGGATCTGCTGATTTATCTGCATCTATAGCTTGTGTGGACATATGGGATATTGGTATGGGATTTATCCTTGGAATTCTCAAAATGAAACCAATGTGTATCTTACCATAGGATTAAGTTTGTGATGAAAATTTTTAGTAACAATGGTCTTTCTTGGGGAATACAGTGCCATGCCAATATCCTCCTCATTATAATCTGCAGATAAAATAAGACATCCTTCTGGGTTATTCCAGCTTCTGTGGTCTCCTGTTGGAAATAATAAGATAATAAAACATGTTTATTGTTTCTGTTTTGCAGTTTGGAATAATGAAGGTCGGTCTAGAAGTCAACCGTTATCTAGATCTTTGGTCTGCAGTTGGGTACAGAGATGGCAACGCAAGGATAGAAATCCGATAAAAGGTGTACAATACAACCAAAGCAGTTAAAAGACAATGGGTGAAGATGTACTGTACATACACCAATGACATTGATATGGTGAGGAACAGAAATGGACCTTCCACCATGAAATTTGTGGGAATATGACATCGTATTGAGGAATGGAGATGGACCTTTCATATGGTGTCCAGTATCTCCTCCTCATTTGTTGGGAACATGGCACTATATTGAGGAATGGAGATGGACCTTCATATGGTGTACAGTATCTCCTCCTCATTTGTTGGGAACATGACGTTATATTGAGGAATGGAGATGGACCTTTCATGTGGTGTCCAGTATCTCCTCCTCATTTGTTGGGAACATGACGTTATATTGAGGAATGGAGATGGACCTTTCATGTGGTGTACAGTATCTCCTCCTCATTTGTTTGGAAACCTCATTTGTTGGGAATATTAGGTGGTGTGGAAGGTACTCTGATCTCCACTGCATGGGGAGTGTCATAGGTTCACCAGATACGTTTCTTGCATAACAAGCCAAACGTATTATTTTAAAGGTGGGGCACCCTATGTGCATCAAATTGTGTTTGATGGATTTTCCATCCTTTTTAGTGAATCTGCATATCTAAATTTGATGAAAATTAATTGAAATGTGAAAGAAGGAACATAAAAATGTGAAGTGCTTTATTTTATGTTATATAATTTTTTACCTGTGCTGGCATCTAGAGAAGATTCCTCCTTGGTCATGGTCTCCATCAATTCACCTTCTATTATAGACAGCTGATTATCTATCACATACATCTCTTCTTCCTCTTTAATCTCAAATTTTAGACCCATCCTTTCTTCCCCCTAAAATAACAGAATTAATTTCAGCATTATTATCCTGAGACTACATACAAGAATATCATCTACTACAGTTTAGAGCCAAGTTTGAGTTCAGCATCCTCAGCCTCACCTACCTGACGATGGTGATGGTTGGTGTGATCTTCCTGTGTGGAATCCCAGGAATACAGAGGACGGGAACATCTCTCTGGTGGGTTCCCATTACTGGATCCATCTGTAGGAAACACACACACTGACTGAATCCATTGTTTTTATGTGTTTATCAGATGATGGGGGATCTAGGTGGAGCCTCCATACTGCTCTCTCCTTTACAATAAAGTCTCCTCTTACCCGGTGATGTGAGGGGTGGCTGACTCTCCATCTTGAAGTCCTTGTAGAGATACTTGTGTCTTTCTAAACACTTCCAATCCTTCATCACACCATCCTCTTCCTCTCTTTCTTTTATCTCTTCTTTGATTCTAACATTAAATTTGTTCCAGCTTCCACTCTGAATATAAATATAAAACAAATGTTCTAAAATGCTCTTCAATGGAGACATCCTAACACCTTATAGGAATCTGACACACACATGACACAGTCACCATCCAGACACATCCCTTGTTCCTGGATAATGCCCCAGAATTCCCGGCACCGCTCACCTCTCTCATTAGGAGGTCAATGATCTTCTGGGTAACTTGTAAAATCTTCTGCTCATTGTTTCTTTCTGTAATTGGTAAGGAAAGTAGAGGAACCATAATGGGGTTCTGTCCATTTCCTGATGTCTTTTTCACAACTATGTTATCCTGTGGAGAGAAATTACCAATCACTATAGACATTTCCCCCCAAAAAAAGTTACAACTTGCTGCCATCATCAACAATCTTTGCTAGAATCTGATTGGCAGCATCTGTAGGCAGGGCCTAGGCCAAGGGTACTCAAACAGGAAGAGGCCATGCACGCCCAATTCTTGATGTTGTCATTTATCTTGTATATCATATGGGTTAATAGTGATGTATAAAGACACTTTTTGTAGGCACGGATATATAGCAATAGAAAAGTTGGTATTTATAGTGTCACCAGGCTTGGGCCTGTATTACTGGAGGACAGCTTCTTCTGGAGGAATAGAAGTTTGCAATGTATTGGGATGGCACTATAATGCTGCTGTGAACATTGCTGATCTGGATACCAGAACATTTCCTACAAACAGACATCCCTGAGCTGACCCTATTCATCAGGAACCTTTCCCTGTGCTATTCACTTTCCCTAACCAGCAAGGTCCAACACCAAGATGGCCACTGGAGATCTTAAGAGGTTGCAGCATCCAGTGAAACAGCTGGCCCTTCTGAGGGGACAATTCCCCTAACAGACTTCTTTCCCATCTGTAATAATGGCTTTGCACTTTCCCTAACCAACGAGGTCTCTATCCCTGACCTACCTTTTACTCCAGGTGTGCCCGAATGATGCAAGTACCCTATTATTAAAGGTCCCACACCAATATGGCTGCCGGAGAGCTTGATAGGTTGCAGGGTCCAATCAGACAGGCCCCTCTGAAATACTGATAGAATCCCCCTGACAGACTCCGCTCCTGTAATAATGGCACGGTGCCACCTACAGCATGAAGGGGGACCTGCACCTTCCTACATCTCTTTCAGAAGTAATTAGGTTTCTTCTCATCTTTTCAGGTAAGCCTTTGAGATGTTTTCAGTCACATTGTATCAGCTACTACTTTACTAAGACAGTATCAGTTATAGTGCAGTCGCATTCAAATGTAACCTCCTGCATTCATGGCCCCTCTTTTCTTGTAAGGTCTTAGTTTCGGGGTTCTCTGTATGATGTGATGGTGTGAGGTCACAAAAAAGGGGACGTTTTAAGTATGGGAGAAGTCCTGACCTTAGTCTAAGGCAGGACATACATTAAGCAATTTTTCTTTCCTACAACCATAGATTGCAGGAAATAAAACTGGTCGATTTCCCCATCAGCACAGTCGGTGGTAATGTGGGAATCCCTCCCGTGGAGCTATTGTGTTTTGCTGGTGGGTATCCTTCTCCACTGGCAGAACGCCATGCTCACTCCTGACGGCTATAGCCAGCGGCGGTGATCACATGAAAAAAAATTGACAGGCTGGTTGTACTGAAGTCAAACGATGGATCGACTTCAGCACAGCCAGCCTGCCCATAGATGAATCAAATCTTGGCCAGTCCCTGCTGAACTGGCTGGGATTCGATCCATCCATGGCCAGCTTATAGTGCTTCTAAAGGCTCAAGGTTTTTTTTTTACCTTCATGCATTCCATGCATGAAGGTAAAAAAACCGTCTGTGTGTAGCAGCCCCCTCTAACACTTACCTAAGCTCCCTCTTGATCCAGTCATGTCCACGAGAGCCTCAGTTCACCAGGGACTCTCACTTCAGATTGGCTGAAGCAGCAGCAGGAGCCATTGGCTGTCAATCACAGCCAGTGAGCCAATCGGGGGGGGCAAGCTGCGGCTCTGTGTGTGAATGGACAAGAAGGCAAAATGTTTGCTATGGGGGCATCTGACAACAGGGAGGGGCCAGGAGTGCCGGCAGGGGCCTGAGAAGAGGAGGATCCGGGTTTTTCTGTGCAACACCATAACACAGAGCATGTAAGTATGACATGTTTGCTATTTGGTTAGCTCTTCCACCTGGCAGTACTAGGGTCTTTGGTTCAAATCCCAGCCACGGCACCACCTGCCTGGAGTTTGCATGGTCTCCGTGTGCCTGCGTAGATTTCCTCCGGGTACTCCGGTTTCCTCCCACACTCCAAAGACATGCTTGGAGGTCAATTGGCTCCTGTCTAAATTGGCCCTATTATGTGTATGTACGAATGTGAGTTAGGGACCTTAGATTGTACGCCCTTTGAGGGTTTAGGGACTGATGTGAATGTACAATATATATGTAAAGCGCTGCGTAAATTGACGGCGCTATATAAGTACCTGAAATACATAATAATAAATAATTACAAATAAAAAAAAAAGACTTTAGTATCACTTTAAGTACTGTGCAATAATTGGGGTGGTATGAAGGTGGACCGGCTCATTCATAATGATCTGAAAGATGCAAGATCATAGGTGTTATGCAAGGCTGGGATATGGATGAACAACGGGCATTGAGAAGGAGCCGAGTCTAATAAGACGTAAGAGGTTACCCTTTTGAGGCAGAGTGAGAGCAGGGCTGCAGTGTACAAGTAATGTCCAGTTGTGGTTTGGCCACCTCTACATTTCGTGGTAGATCCCTACCTATCAGAAAAACCGTACTGAGATGTCATCAGTACCAAAAGGGCCTACAGAGCGGCACGAGACTGTCACTGCTTATAAACTGGGTATGGGCAGCTTAGGCAGTCCTGGCCAACAGAACTTAGAAAAAAAAAAGTAGTTAGATATGTTTGAACTCCTCGTCCAGTCACTATTGTTTTGCAGTTGGTAAACTTCAATCTGAAATATGTAATCTGTGCCTCCCTCCTCCCGTAGACCAAACAGGAACACTAATGTGACCTACATGGTTCTGTTTATGGCTGGAGTTCCACCAAAATCCATTTTGAGATTGTGCGTCTCCAATATCCATATATATGGATCTTTAGCTAGACCTCATTTAGAATACCGTGCCCAATTCTGGAGACCTCACTTACAAAAAGATATTGATAAGATAGAACAAGTCCATAGACAAGGAACAAAACGGGTGAAAGGTCTGAGGGATAAAACATATCCGGAGAGGCTTCAGGAACTTCAAATGTACAGTCTGGAGGAAAGAAGGGAAAGGGGGAGACATTATTGAAACCTTTATCCAATTTCCACCCATAGCACATCATATGACATCGAGTTTCAGCAATTATATCCAGGCTGCAATCCAGGATCTTTTTTTTCAGCTGACAATTCACTTTCATGTAAGAGTGATCCTAGCGGCTGCATAGCTGGTAGACTGCTTTTACATGCGGAGGGAAGGGTACCACCCCCCCCCCCCCCCCCTTTGCCATCTTCCGCAGCATTTCCGGGCTCTCCTGTCCCCACTGGTTTACCATAGAGATGACCAAGGACCGTAACTTCCCAGATCATCTCTATGGTATAAGAAACTGAAAGCGACAAGTATTTTGTCACGTCCGGTTTTGCCACTATATAAACAAGCCGTTGCTGCTTTGTGAAAGCATCTGATCAAATCGATCGATCACATGCTTTTAAGGGGAGAGGAGAGATCTGGGATCTAACAGACCCCAGATCTCTCAGTCACTGCTCCAGCTATCAAAAGGAATGTGGTCTATCCCTTGCAAGAGCAATACAAAGTCATCATGAAAATCTAAAGGATAAGTTTGCCTTTTGACAAAAAACAAAACAAAAAACAACGGGAAGTATGGGCAAGCAGACATACTGACAGAAAGAATCAACCACGATGGCGCTCCACAGTGCAGTGGTACTTCATGGAGAACTACGAGCCAATAGCCGCTAAGGCTATCAGGACTTGAGGTTCATTAATTCATAGAACTCTGTGAATGAATGACGCGGCCGTGTGGGCGAGCCCGCATGGCCGCGCTGATTTAAAAAAATGACAGCTTTGTATGGGGAACTTCTCCCCGTACTTTTGTTACAGGGAAAGGGGGGGGGGGGGGGGGGGGGGGGGGGGGGAATCAGTCAGCGGCTGCAGCATTGGGAACATGTTACATTTTGAACTTATCCTTTAACCGCCTCCCGCCCACCATATGATGTAATGACGGGAGGGCGCCGGTTCTCTCAGGATGTCATGTAACGTCCTCCCACTGTAACTGCACGTGCGCGCCCCCTGGGGCATGCGGCGATCGGCGGTGCACTGTGTCCCTGGGACACCGCGGATCACCGATCGCTGTAAAGAGCCGATGACGTCGGCTCTATCATGTGATCAGCTGTGTCCAATCACAGCTGATCACATGTAAGTAGGAAATGCCGTTTATCGTCAGTTCTCCCCTCCCGCTGACAGCTTGTGAGGAGAGGAGATCCGGTAATCGGCATTACTCAGAGCGGACATCTACACTGATCTCAAGGCACTGATGATCAGTGTGCCCTGATGATCAGTGTAGCCCCATCAGTGCCCATCAATGCCAGCTGTAAATGCACATCAATGGTAACTTGTAAAGGCTTTTAAAGCGTCGCCTATGGAGATTTTTTTTTAGGTACCATAGTTCCACGGACATACACAATTTTAAAGAGTGACATATTAGGTATCTATTGACTTGGTGTAACATGATATTTTATATTGTACCAAAAAATGGGCATTATATTGTGTTTATGTGCAATAAAATTCATTAATGTGTATTCTTTCCAAAAAAATTGCATTTAAAAAAACGCTGCGCAAATACTGCGTGCCATAAAAAATTGCAACACCCACTGTTTAGTTCTCTAGGGCAGTGTTTCTCAACCTTTTTTCATTCAAGGCACCCTTTAATATTATGGACAGTCTTGAGGCACCCTTTAATATCATGGACAGTCTCGAGGCACCCTTTAATATCATGGACAGTTTCAAGGCACCCTTTAATATCATGGACAGTTTCGAGGCACCCTTTAATATCATGGACAGTCCCGAGGCACCCTTTAATATTATGGACAGTCTCGAGGTACCCCATTCTAAAATGTGAAAAACTATTCCAAAAGTTTTTATATATTGCAGCAATATCCAAACATGTAGGACACCCAACACTAGAGGTGAATTATTCTTCCAAAGCAAATACGCTTTTGCACACTGGTACTGACTAGTATTCCCATGTTTCTCTTCTCCCTCAGTTTTTCTCCAACACTGAGCTAATGTGACCCCAGCACTGATGGAGAGGGGCAGGGGAGGGTCAAACTAGAATGGTGTGCAAGCAGCTGACATTCTCCTTATCAACTGATGATGTCATTGGTTGTCAGGATGCAGGCGGCTAGAAGGTCGTAATGGTGCACAATGAAAACCTGTGATTTTGTGTTACTAAAAGGCGGGCCTGTTCCACCCGCTGGCTTGTATACAAGTTTTGGGCAACTTTTATACATTTTGCCAAGGCGCCCCTGAAGAAACCTCAAGGCACCTGGGTGCCTGGGTATTCTGGTTGAGAAAGGCTGATCTAGGGCCACTCTAATGAGCCGGGCCCTCTGTTTCCTCTTGTACCAAATTGTATTGTAACTGTAACGTCTACCTTGATTTTGTAAAGCGCTGTGCAAACTGTTGGCGCTATATAAATCCTGTATAATAATAATATATATATTTTAATATGTTTGGGGGTTCTAAGTAATTTTGCAGCAAAAAAAATATATGATTTTTACATGTAGGAGAGGAATGTCAGAATTATAATGGTGGACAACACATCAGTGGGCTGAATAAGGTTCATGAGGGCAGCATCTTCAAGATGAAGCCAAGATCAAGAACACAGGGACCTGACCTCAAACTAGCAGGAGGAAAGTTCCAAACTAATCTTAGAGAATATTATTTTACTGAAAAAGTAGTTGATGCTTGGAACAGACAGTGGTAGTGAGTCATTCAACAGGAAGTGGGTTCAAACATACTTGGGAAAACATATAGACACATCTATACTCAGATGAAAATAAAAAAACATATGTAAGTAAAAAGAAAAAGACAGACTCAATGTACTTTTCTGCCACCACTCTTCCATGATATATATATATATAGATATATAGATAGATAGATATCCTAGATTGCAAGCTCCCAGGATCAGGCCCTCCTTTCCCTCTTGTAATGAACTGTATTGTTGCTGTATTGTCTCCCGTTATATTGTAAAGCGCTGAGCAAACTGTTGGCGGCATAAATCCTGTATAATAATTATATATATATATATATATATATATAGTTTTTTTGTTTGCTTTTTGGGGGGATGCGGACATATATATTATACATATGTAAAAACAATTTGTCATTGTCAGTAACAAAAACTTAGTAAAACTTTGCCTTGTAACTTACTAAACCAGTTGTTACAAAAAAAAAAAAAAATCATTCAGTTGTGAGTACAAAAAAGTTACTTATCAATGCTCCGCATCTTGACAGTTACAATGTATTACAAATAGAAACAGTAAATAAAAAAATACATCCATTAGACACTTTTTGTTGCTGGAATAAAACTGGAGGAAAGTTATTTTTCGGTCAGGTATCAATCAATAAAATTAACCAAATGTGTTGGTCCGTGCTCCCAGAATCCTCCTCACCTCCCCGGTCAGCAGGTAGATGATCTCCAGGGTGAGGTCTAATATCCTCTCCGTCAGGTTGGTGCAGTTTGCCTCCATTGCTTGTAACTCAGTTCCATTCACTTCCTGCAACAATAGCGCCCATCCCCCAATACTTAGCAGCATGGGTAAAAAGAAGGCTCTTCTGTGATTGGTTGTTTTCGGCCATTTTGTTGTAGCCCAGCAGACCTGGAGGAACATTTTGTTCAACCAAAAAACTAAAGCTAGCCCAGGGACGGACTGACAACACATGGGGCCCCTGGGCAATAGGGGATCATGGGGTCCCTGTGTCCTTGCCCACACTCAAAGCACACCCAAAAAAGCCTTTCATGGCCCCCTACTGACCCCAGGCCCTCGGGCAGTGCCCAAGTGCTCGAATGGTCAGTCTGCCCCTGAGCTAGCCATAGATGGATCAGCCAACCGGCTGATCAATAAAACATTTGAGGTGGATGGGGGAATCCTCCCTGCTGTGCTGGGCTGTTGTGTTCTGGCAGCAGGACTCCTCCACTGATTGAGCAGAAATATACCAACGATCCCATTCGGGATAAGTCCATTACTAGATTGAATTGAATAGAACGGGAGCGACCATCAATGGATCGAAATGCATGTGGTCAAATTTCTATCCATCTACGGTCGGCTTCATGCTCAGTCTAATAATACCCACCAAGAATAATTTTGAACAAATGATGTAGTGCTGTAAATACTAAAATACCATATTGTCAAATCATAATATAAATAATATTAAAATGAAAGAATGTTAATAAACCTTGTGTATCCTTATTACCTTAATTAAAGGTGAAATACATTCCAAAGTAAATATAAAATCAAAGTGACCAATTATAAAACCGTGACATACTGTATATCAATTGATAGAAATAAATAAAAAAAAAGTCCCAAAAAGTGAAGAAATCAGTCCCAACAAGTGAAAAAAATAATTATACCTTATTACCTTAATTAAAGGTGAAGGTGACACATTGCCTCCTAAAACACCTTTTCTACACCTCTACTTCTTTCCCCTCTTTTTGTTCTTTCTTTCTCTCCCCCCTTTTTTTCTCTCTTCCCCCCCTTCTTCTTTCCATCTCTTCTCCTCTTTTCTGGGGTCCCCTGATTATCAGGTTAGCTAAGTAACTAGCTAGCTGGAAGAAGGAAATTGCAGTCTCCGGGATCAGGGGGCCTCCAGGCCATCACGTGTTTGTAGGATTTTCTGTAACAATCTCGATGGCCAATGTTGTCCATGTTTCTTTGTAACTCTCAGAGACTTGATTCGTTATCAAATGATTGACTTGTACCCTAATCTGATGTTTTGATTACTAGTTGTATTGCAAATACCTACTTATACGGTGCAGTACTTTACTTGTATTTGCTGTTATACTCCAATAAAATTTGTTTGGGAAAAAAAAAAAATACTGTGCGGGATGGGCTGATGGATAAAATAAAGTACAGTTTTTATGTGGAGCAGGATAGGCTTTTCTGAAGGGTTTCCAGAGAGCATCTAAAAGTATACAGAGTAGGAGATTGGGGTAGGGAATTCCGTGGGATTGGAGAGAGTCTGGAAAAGTCCTGGAGGCGAGCATGGGAGGAGATGACAAGAGAGTAGGTCATCCTGGGAGGAACAAAGAGAACAGTTTGGTTGGTATTTTGAGACAAGGTTAGTGATGTAGCTGGGGGTCAAGTTGTGGATGGCTTTGTAAGTTGTTAGAATTTTGAATTTGATTCTTTGGGCGAGCAGAAGCCAGTGGAGGTATCGGCAGGGAGGCGTAGCAGACACTGAACGGTTGGTAAGGTGGATGAGTCCGGCAGCATCATTTATGATGGACTGAATAGGGTATAGCCTATGTAGAGGTAAGTCAATAAGGCGGGAGTTGCAGTAGCCAAGGTGAGAAATGACCAGGGAGTGAGTTAGAAGCTTTGTGGTGTCATTGTTTAGGAAGGGGCGTATTCTGGAGATGTATTTGGACAGTGATTGGATGAGGGGCCAAAAGGAGAGTTCAGAGACCAGGATTACACTTAGCACCTTGGCATGTTGAGACGTGTTGCTAGTTGAGCCGTCGATCTCGACAGAGAAACCAGGGGAAGGGGCATGTGGGGGAGGAAATATTATGAGGTCGGTCTTGGATAGATTGAGTTTGAGGAAGTGGTGTGTCATCCAGGCTGATATGTCTGTTAGTAAATTAGTGATGCATCTGGAGACTGGTGGCGTGAGCTCTGGGGTAGAGAGATAGATTTGGGTACCATCAGCTGACCCAGGGAGGAGGTGTAGATGGAGAATAGGAAAATGACAAAAACAGAACCTAGGGAGACCCTGATGGAGAAAGGAAGAGGAGAGGAGTAAGTAAAATTGTAATTGACGCTGAAGGTGCGGTGGGATAGGTAGGATGACAATTTATCAGACTATCACCTACTCTGCTCACTTTTAGGCAATCTCTGAAAACCTGTCTCTTCAGGGAAACCTATCCTGCCCTCAGCTAATAATGGAATCTTCTACTCTTCCAAC